GAGGCACAGCAGTAGAGATGCAAATGTGTTTGCAGCTGTTTGGGGATGGAGGGGCGGGCATACATTACTTAATTTTCCTATCTCTAAAATAGACAATCAATGCATTCTGTCTACTGGGATATAAAGAAGGGAAAGAAGTTATTATAAAGTACCTTGCTAATTTCAGCTAATAAGATATTTGGGGAAATGTATGACTCTGACATTTGTTGACACATAAAATGCACTGGGCCAGCGCAAAAATAGAAAACTGGTTGGATCACTCCACTTGGTCAGGAAGGTAAACTGAGTGGTGAATCAATGGCGACTCCGTGCTTCCACTCATGTTTGCCATTTGGCCAAATGGCCCAATGTTGCCAGATAGTTATATTTTTACAAAAAAGCTGAGAATGCAAACATTTGTGTAATGTTTTCTTTTTTTATTTTTTTGAGACGGAGGCTTCCTCTTTTGCCCAGGCTGGAGTGCAGTGGCACGATCTCGGCTCACTGAAACCTCTGCCTCCTGGGTTCAAGTTACTTACTCTCTTGCCTCAGCCTCCCAGTAGCTGGGATTACTGGCAGCTGCCACTACACCCGGCTAGTTTTTTTTTTATTTTGAGTAGAGATGGGGTTTCACCATATTGGCCAGGCTGGTCTCGAACCTCTGACCTCTTGATCCATCCACCTGAGCCTCCCAAAGTGATGGGATTACAGGTCTGAGCCACTACACCCAGCATGTTTCCTAATTTTTTAAGTGTTAGCAACTAAAGCAAATTATTATTATTATTTTCTTTGAGACAGAGTCTTATTCTATGGCCCTGGTTGTGGGCCAGGAGTCCAGTGGCTTAATCTCACTTCACTGTCACCTTCATCTCCTGGGTTCAAGCAGTTATCCCGCCTCAGCCTCCTAAGAGCTGGGATTATAGAGCACACCACCAGGCCCAGCTAATTTTTTGTATTCTTAGTAGAAATGGGGTTTCACTGTGTTACCCAGGCTGGTATCAAACTCTTGACTTTAGGTGATCCACCCACCTTGACCTCCCAAAGTGCTGAGATTACAGACGTGAGCCACCTCACCCGGCCGCAAATTATTCTTTTAAATGTGCAGGCCAGACAAAGTTGTCTGGGAATTAGGGATGTGGCTCAAGGGCCAACAATCTGTCATTTGCCTGGTAATATAGTGCCATATCCTGCTGGAACGACCTTTCGTCTCAGTATTGATTGGTCAAACCATATCACAGCTGCTGAGATGACTCAAACTGATCTTGTTATGCAGGCCACTGCCCTTCACATTGCCCCATATGGAAAGGCTGTACGGTAAAAAGATTATGGAGCAGGAGAAAGAACACGGAGTTTTTGGAGCCAGAAACTACTGGTTTGGATTCCTACCGTAGTCATTCAGCCATCTTGTAATACTGGGGGAAGTTATCGAAGTCCCTGAGTTCCGATCTTTTCCTATGAAATACGAGGATGATATCTTCTTCAGGTTGTTTCAAGGACTAAGAATTATTGTGACGTTTAGGTACATGGGTGAGGATAAACTGCCAAGCACATGATGGTACCACCATCTATCAGACAGTAAAATGACAGTTGTCTTTTCAACTAAAGGGAATCCAGAAATGGGAATAAATGATTACGGCACAAATCTTAATTTTCCCTGATTTACTCTAATTATTTGAAATTTCAAACAGAAATGGAATTAGTGTTTTATTCAGTATTGCACATTGTGTTTTTTTTTTCTTGTAACAATTCATTTATTAGATATGTAATCATGGGCAAATCACTCAATCACTCAATTTTCTTATCTGGATAATAAGGATAATAATACGTTAAAATGAGGGCAATATAATACATCCTTGAAAAGGGCCATTGCAAGGAACCACCTAAGTACTGTAACTGACAAATAGTCTGGAATATATGGGAGACATTTGTAGGATTATCCATTATATTATCTTGGTTTTGAATTTCATTTAGTTCTAGAAACCTGAAATACATCTATCTATGTATCTATCTATCTATGTATCTATTTATGTATCTATCTATCTATCTATCTATCATCTATCTATCTATCTATCATCCATCTATCTATCTATCTAATTTTTTATTGGGATAAAATTCTGCAGCTACTGGGGAAGACAGCTTTGCAGTTCCTCAGGAAGTTAAATATAGAATTACCATGTGACATGGTAATTCCACTTCTATCCAGAAGTGAAAACGGGTATTCAAACAAACACTTGTACACGATGTTATCCAGATAATCCAGATTATCCATTTTACATTCCCATCAGCAATGTATAAGGATTTCAGTTTCTCCATATCCTCACCAATATTTGTTATTTTTATTGTTATTATTGCCAGCCTAATGAATAAAAAATGGTATCTCATTGTGGTTTTTATTTGCATTCCCCTAATGAACAACGATGTCAATCATCTTTTGCATTTTTTCTTCAGGGAAATGTAAAGTCCTTTGCCCATTAACAAAAATTGTTTTTGTTGGGTTTTAGGAATTCTCTTTATATTGTGGACATTAATCTCTTATCAGATATATGCTTTGCAAATATTTTATCTCATGCTGTGAGTTGTCTTTTCATTTTCTTAATAGTGTCCTTTGAAGCACAAAAGTTAATTCTGATGAAATTTATTTTATCTTTTTTTTTTCTTTGGTTGATGGTGCTTTTGGTGTCATAGCTTAAAAAAAATCAACAAATTGCAAGTAATGAAGTTTTCTACCTGTTTTCTTCTAGGAATTTTACAATTTTAGCTCTCATATTTAGATCTTTAATTCATTTTGGGTTAATTTTTTATATAGCACAAGGGGGAGGTTCAAATTCATTCTTCTGCATATGAATACCTGGTTATCTCAGCACCATTTGTTGAAGAGACTGTTATTTCCCCATTGAATGGCTTTGGCACCCTTGTCAAAAACTAATTGACCATTGACATATGAGTTTATTCCTGGACTCTTAATTTTATTTCATTGATCTAAATGTCTGTCATTATGCCAGTACCACACTGTTGTTTTGATTATTGTAGCTCCAGCTTTCTTTTTTAAGGTTGTTTTGGTTATTCTGGATCCCTTGCAATTCCATATGAATTTTAGGATCAGCTTTTTCCATTTCTGCAAAAAGAAAAAAAAAGAACATTGGAATTTCGATGGCAATTGCATTGAATCTGTAGATTGCATTGGGTGGTGGTGCCGTCTTAACAATATTAAGCTTCCAGTCCATGAATATGAGATAGCTATTTATTTATTTAGGTCTTCTTCGATTTCTTTCAACAATGTTACGCAGATTTTGGTATACAAGTCTTAAACCTTCTTAAGTTTATTCTTGAAGTATTTTATTCTTTTTAATGCTATTTTAAGTGAAACTGTTTTCTTAGTTTTATTTTTGAGTTCATTGCTTTTGTATAAAAATACAACTGTTTTTGTATATTGATTTTGTATCCTGCTACTATGCTCCACTCATTTATTAGCCCTTATAGTTTTTGTGTGTGGATTCTTTAGGAATTTCTATATATAAGATCATATCATCTGTGAATGTAGATATCTTTACCTTTTTCTTTCTAGTATGGATGCCTTTTATTTTTCTTAATGTCTTAAATGCTCTAGCTAAATCTTAAATGATCTAGCTAAAATTTCCACTACAATGTTTAATAGAAGTGGTGAAAGCAGCCATCCATGTCTCATTCCTGATATTACGAGGAAAGATTTCAGCCTTTTACCATTAAATATGATGTTAAATGTGGGCATTTATTTATTTTAAAGCCTATTTGTGCTCTAATTTTGAAATAGCAGAGTGAAACTGTACAATGTAGAAACCCAAGGCATTCTCTTAAAGTCCACTCATTTATAGCGAGATGACTGTTTATATTTTGAAAATCGATCATTAAATGTCCTTTTAAAACTTTTATGAAAACATGACATATTAGAGACTCTCTATATTACTAAAATAGGCAGCAAAACCTGATGTTTTATCTGTTACATCTTAGATAATTGGATTTAACTTAGTAATCATGTACTTTAGAACCAAGTATTTTGAAATGCACCATTTTTGTGATTGTGGTTGGTTATTTCAACATGTGCTTTTTGTTCTTTTTTTTTTTTTAATTTTTTATTGGATTTTAGGTTTTGGGGTACATGAGCAGAGCATGCAAGACAGTTGCGTAGGTACACACATGGCAGTGTGCTTTGCTTTTCTTCTCCCCTTCACCCACATTTGGCATTTCTCCCCAGGCTATCCCTCCCCACCTCCTCCTCCCACTGGCCCTCCCCTTTCCCCCCCAATAGACCCCAGTGTTTAGTACTCCCCTTTCTGTGTCCATGTGTTCTCATTTTTCATCACCCACCTATGAGTGAGGATATGCAGTGTTTCATTTTCTATTCTTGTGTCAGTTTGCTGAGGATGATGTTCTCCAGATTCATCCATGTCCCTATAAATGACACAAACTCATCATTTCTGATTGCTGCATAATATTCCATGGTGTATATGTGCCACATTTTTCCAATCCAGTCTATTATCAATGGGCATTTGGGTTGATTCCAGGTCTTTGCTATTGTAAACAGTGCTGCAATGAACAATCGTGTGCATGTGTCCTTATAGTAGAACAATTTATAGTCTTTTGGATATATACCCAGTAATGGGATTGCTGGGTCAAATGGAATTTCTATTTCTAAGGCCTTGAGGAATCGCCACACTGTCTTCCACAATGGTTGAACTAATTTACACTCCCACCAACAGTGTAAAAGTGTTCCTTTTTCTCCACATCCTCTCCAGCATCTGTTGTCTCCAGATTTTTTAATGATCGCCATTCTAACTGGCTTGAGATGGTATCTCAATGTGGTTTTGATTTGCATCTCTCTGATGACCAGTGACGATGAGCATTTTTTCATATGATTGTTGGCCTCATATATGTCTTCTTTCTTAAAGTGTCTGTTCATATCCTTTGCCCACTTTTGAATGGGCTTGTTTGTTTTTTTCCTGTAAATCTGTTTGAGTTCTTGTGCTTTTTGTTCTAAATTACAGATTGGATTTGTCCTGTATCCCCCTGATGGAAGTCCTGCATGGGATCTGGTGGATCATGAAAACATTATGTTTCTCACCATATGCTTCTGTTGGCATTACGCAGTAGCCCTTGTCATCGTTGGAATGAATTACGCTTTCGTCACCTGGTAAGTCAGCCAGCAATTTCTGTTCATGGAAGTTCTATTCCTTGGTATGTGATTATCAAGACTCAGTGGTACTGAATTTAAAATTCGAAAGGGGATTTTATTCCTTATCATCTCAACAGGGTTGCATTGCCGAATATCTGCAAACACAAAAATGCTTAGTAAAAAGAATAAAAGCTGGTTTAAAATTGATTTCTATTAGTCCCATTCAGTGCCTCGGCTGTGCCTCTGATGCTCACGTTTACCTCAACACACTCCTCTGTGCCTCCATGTCTCCACTATGCTGTCTCTTCTTCTCTCTTCTGAATGGTCTCCCTCACCCTGTACTGCCTATAGTGAGTCCTCCATTTACCCAAATGTACATACTTCAATTAAGCACTTCTTTTTTTTTTTTTGAGACGGAGTTTTGCTCTTGTTATCCAGGCTGGAGTGCAATGGCGCAATCTCGGCTCACCGCAACCTCCGCCTCCTGGGTTCAGGAAATTCTCCTGCCTCAGCCTCCTGAGTAGCTGGGACTACAGGCACGTGCCACCACGCCCAGATAATTTTTTGTATTTTTAGTAGAGACGGGGTTTCACCCATGTTGACCAGGATGGTCTCGATCTCTTGACCTCGTGATCCACCCGCCTCGGCCTCCCAAAGTGCTGGGATTACAGGCGTGAGCCACCGCGCCCGGCCCAATTAAACACTTCTTAAGCTTAGAATCCTTAGGCTGAGGCAGGAGAATTGCCTGAACCCAGGAGGCGAAGGTTGAGGTGAGCCGATATCGCGCCATTGCACTCCAGCCTGGGTAACAAGAGCGAAACTCCGCCTAAAAAAAAAAAAAAAAAAAAAAAAAGAATCCTTTTTTGACCAACTTGTGTATGTCCCATTAAGTGTAGGTGCCTGCCTAATTTGGCATTGACTGATATTTCTAAAAGTCAGATCCAGTTAAATACATATTTTTATAAGAACCCCAGTATAATATGTCATGAGTGGGTAATGAGGAGTAGAACAGAATGATAAGAACACATATTTTTAGCTCTGCTATTTATCAGCTCTATGATATTGGGCCAATTACTTAACCACATTAAGTACTATTTTTGTTGTTTGTAAAATGGGGAAATAATAATACCTAAATGAGATTAACTATTTAAGCTTAGGACATAAGAAGAGCTCAGTAAACATTATTGTCTTGTTCTTCCTCTCGCTATGTGTCTCCTCCTCCTCTTTGTCCTCTTTGGTATTAAAAAAATGAATGTGATACAGACCCTACCCATCAGGAATTTTTAGTCTTATCATTAGGACTAAATTAGGGAGACGCACAATTAAAATACAGAGCAATAAACAGAAATAGTAGAAGAAAAAACTCTCTTGGCGTTGAGGGGAGGCCTCTCCACAATTGAGAATGAAGCTGCAGCTTGAAGGATGAGCAGGGATAGAAAGGGGTGATCACAATTCATTTCTCTAAGGTGGTTAATGCTGAACCACAATTGGCTTGGCCGACCTCAATGACCAGGTGTGGAGGCTCTGGCACCGAATCCCTCAGACTTAGTGCTGACTGAAATATTCTGTATCTACAATGTCCAATATGGTAGTCACTAGCGATTGAGCACTTAAAATGTGGCTCGTGCCACATTTAACAGGTTCTCCGATTTCTAAAATGCAGTAGCTACTGCTAGGCCCAGTGAGGTCCCACCCGGAACCAACTTGCCACTCTTTTCTCTAGACATTGGCCCCAAGTCATCCCTCCTGCTCTGTGCTTCTTTGTGCCTCATTGCTGAAGCAGCTCTGGTGCTGAGGCACTGAGTGGAGAGATGATTCCTTTACTAGCTCTCAGCTATCTCCTCTCAGCGGCAGGTCAGCCCACTTTGATCTATAGTTGCTGCCTTCTACTTGCTTTGGGTACTAGGAAATTCCACCTTCTAATGGATTTCTATTAGTCCCATTCAGTTCCTCCAAAGCATGTGCATGTGCTCATTGTCAAGGCTGGCTCTGCCATTGAGTGAAACTTGGCTTCTTCCCCTATTGTTCTAGGCTGACTTCTGGGCCTCATCTCCTTAGGGGCTGGGAAGCCTCCAACATCAGTGCCAGCATCCAAGGAAACTCTCTTCCTCATGTCAGCTCCTCTGCAGAGCCAAAAGAAGACTACTGTCTCTTCCTGTTTCAAAGACCTTCAGACCCCTAATGGACCTCTTATTGACTTATAGTACCCTAGAAACTGGATACTCCATTTTTTATTTTCCAACCTTCTCCTCTACCCCTGACACATATTATCCTAAATCTTTTTGCCCAGGCAGTTCCCTCCACCTGGCATATTCACATTAAATGCTCATCTCTTCTATGGAACCTTCTGTGATGACTCTAGCCCTTGCTCATCTCCCTTTAAGAGTTTTTACAGCATGTACTCTATATCATGCATTTCAAAAATTGGGAACTCTCTTGTGATGTTCCCCATGAGCTCATGTGTATTAGTCTTATCTCCTGGCTAGATTGTGTCTCCTTGAGTATAAGACCCTTTCCATATTTCCAACACATCTTGGCATGCTGCAAACATATAGTAGATTCTCAATAAACTATTTTTGCTGTTTTTTAAAAAATTATTATTATACTTTAAGTTCTGGGTACATGTGCAGAAAGTGCAGGTTTATTACATAGGTATACAAGTGCCATGATAGTTTGCTGCACCCATCAACCGTAATATGCATTAAGTATTTCTCCTAATGCTTCCCCCCCAGCCCCCTACATTTGACAGACCCTGGTGTGTGATGTTCCCCTCCCTGTGTCTATGTGTTATCAATGTTCAACTCCCACTTATGAGTGAGAACATGCGGTGTTTGGTTTTCTCTTCTTGTGTTAGTGTGCTGAGAATGATGGTTTCCAGCTTCATCCATGTCCCTGCAAAGGTCGGGAACTCATCCTTTTTTATGGCTGCATAGTATTCCATGGTGTATATGTGCCACATTTTCTTTATCCAGTCTATCATTGATGGGCATTTGGTTTGGTTCCAAGTCTTTGCAATTTGTGAACAGTGCCACAGTAAACATGTGTGCATGTTTCTTTATAGTAGAATGATTTATAATCCTTTGGGTATATACTCAGTAATGGGATTGCTGGGTCAAATGGTATTTCTCATTCTAGATACTTGAGATCACCACACTGTCTTCCACAATGGTTGAACTAATTTACACTCACACAAATAGTGTAAAATTGTTCCTATTTCTCCACATCCTCTCCAGCATCTGTTGTCTCCAGATTTTTTAATGATCGCCATTCTAATTGGCATGAGGTGCTATCTCAATGTGGTTTTGATTTGCATTTCTCTAATGACCAGTGAAGATGAGCTTTTTTTTCACATGATTCTTGGCTTCATAAATGTCTTCTTTTGAGAAGTGTCTGTTCATATCCTTTGCCCATTTTTTGATTTTTTTTTCTTGTAAATTTGTTTAAGTCTTTGTAGATTCCGGATATTAGCCCTTTGTCAGATGGATAGATTGCAAAAATTTTCTCCCATTCTGTAGGTTGCCTGTTCACTCTGATGCTAGTTTCTTTTGCTGTGCAGAAGCTCTTTAGTTTAATTAGATGCCATTTGTCTATTTTGGCTACTGTTGCCATTGCTTTTGGTGTTTAAGTCATGAAGTCTATGCTCATGCCTATGTCCTGAATGGTATTGCCTAGGTTTTCTTCTATGGTTTTTATGGTTTTAGGTCTTACATTTATGTCTTTAATCTATCTTGAGTTAATTTTTGTATAACATGTAAGGAAGGGATCCAGTTTCAGCTTTTTGCACATGGCTAGCCAGTTTTTCCAACACCTTTTGTTAAATAGGAAATCCTTTCTCCAGTGCTTGTTTTTGTCAGGTTTGTCAAAGATCAGATGGTTGTAGATGTGTGGCGTTATTTCTGAGGCTTCTATTCTGTTCCATTGGTCTATATATCTGTTTTGGTACCAGTACCTTGCTCTTTTTATTACTGTAGCCTTGTAGTGTAGTTTGAAGTCAGGTAGCGTGATGCCTCTGGCTTTGTTCTTTTTGCTTAGAATTGTCTTGGCTCTGGAGACTTTTATTTTGTTCTGTATGAAATTTAAAGTAGTTTTTTTCCAATTCTGTGAAGAAAGTCAATAGTATCTTGATGGGGATAGCATTGAATCTATAAATTACTTTGGGAAGTATGGCCATTTTCACCATATTGATTCTTCCCAACCATGAGCATGGAATGTTTTTCCATTTGTTTGTGTCCTCTCTCATTTCCTTGAGCAGTGGTTTGTAGCTCTCCTTAAAGAGGTCCTTCACATCCCTTGTAAGTTTATTCCTAGGCATTTTATTCTCTTTGTAGCAACTGTGAATGGCAGTTCACTCATGATTTGGCTCTCTGTGTGTCTGTTATTGGTGTATAGGAATGCTTGTGATTTTTGCACATTGATTTTGTATCCTGAGACTTCGTTGAAGTTGCTCATCAGCTTAAGGAGATTTTGGGCTGAGACGATGGGGTTTTCTAAGTATACAATAATTCATCTGCAAACAGAGACAATTTGACTTCCTCTTTTCCCAGTTGAATACCATTTCTTTCTTTCTCTTGCCTGATATCCCTGGCTAGAACTTCCAATACTGTGCTGAATAGGAGTGGTGAGAGAGGGCATCCTTGTCTTGTTCTGGTTTTCAAAGGTTATGCTTCCAATTTGTGGCCATTCAGTATGGTATTGGCTGTGGGTTTGTCATAAGTAGCTCCTATTATTTTGAGATACATCCTATCAATACCTAGTTTATTGAGATTTTTTAGCATGAAGCGCTGTTGAATTTTATCAAAGACCTTTTCTACATCAATTGAGATAATCATGTGGCTTTTTTCATTGGTTCTGTTTATGTGAATGGATTACATTTATTGATTTACGTATATTGAACCACATCCCAAGGATGAAGTTGACTTGATCGTGGTGGGTAAGCTTTTTGATGCACTGTTGGATTTGCTTTCCCAGTATTTTATTGAGGATTTTCATATTGATGTTCATCAGGGATATTGGCCAGAAATTTTCTTTTTTTGTTGTGTCTCTGTCAGGTTTTGGCATCAGGATGATTCTGGCCTCATAAAATGAGTTAGGCAGGAGGCCCTCCTTTTCTATCATTTGGAATAGTTTCAGAAGGACTGATACCAGCTCCTCTTTGTACCTCTGGTAGAGTTCGGCTGTGAATCCATCTGGTCCTGGACTTTTTTTGGTTGGTAGGCTATTGATTACTGCCTCAATTTCAGAACTTGTTGTTGGTCTATTGAGGGATTCAATTTCTTCCTGGTTTAGTCTTGTGAGGGTGTATCTATCCAGGAATTTATCCATTTCTTCTTGATTTTCTAGTTTATTTGCATAGAAGTTTTTATTGTATTCTCTGATGGTAGTTTGTATTTCTGTGGGATTGGTGGTGATATCCCCTTTATCATTTGATTCTTCTCTCTTTTATTCTTCAGTAGTCTGAATAGCAGTCTATCTACTTTGTTGATCTTTTCAAAAAACCACCTCCTGGCTTCGTTGAATTTTTTGAAGGTTTCTTTTTATGTCTCTATCTCCTTCAGTTCTGCTCTGATCTTAGCTATTTCTTATCTTCTGTTAGCTTTTGAATCTGTTTGTTCTTGCTTCTCTAGTTCTTTTAATTGTGATATTAGAGTGTCGATTTTAGATCTTTCTTGATTTCTCTTGTGGGCATTTAGTGCTATAAATTTCCCTCTACACACTGCTTTAAATATGTCCCCAAGATTCTGGTACATAGTGTCTTTGTTCTCATTGGTTTCAAAGAACATCTTTATTTCTGCCTTAATTTCGTTATTTACCGAGTAGTCATTCAGGAGCAGGTTGTTTAGTTTCCATGTAGTCGTGCAGTTTTGAGTGACTTTCTTAAACCTGAGTTCTAAATTGATTGTACTGTGGTCTGAGAGACTGTTTGTTATGGTTTCCGTTCTTTTGAATTTGCTGAGGAGTGTTTTACTTCCAATGATGTAGTTAATTCTAGAATAAGTGTGATGTGGTGCTGAGAAGAATGTGTATTCTGTTGACTTGGGGTGGAGAGTTCTGTAGACGTCTATTAGGTCTGCTCGGTCCAGAGCTGAGTTCAAGTCCTGAATATCCTTGTTAATTTTCTGTCTCATTGATCTGTCTAATATTGACAGTGGGGTGTTAAAGTCTCCCATTATTATTGTATGGGAGTCTACATCTTTTTGTAGGTCTCTAACAACTTGTTTTATGAATCTGGGTGTTCCTGTATTGATTCCATGTGTATATAAGATAGTTAGATCTTCTTGTTGCATTGATTCCTTTACCATTATGTATGCCTTTTTTTGTCTCTTTTGATCTTTGTTGGTTTAAAATTTGTTTTCTAGAGACTAGGATTGCAACCCCTGTTTTCTTTTTCTTTCCATTTGCTTGGTAAGTAGTCCTCCATCCCTTTATTTTAAGCCTATGTGTGTCTTTGCACGTGGATGGGTCTCCTGAATACAGTACACTGATGGGTCTTGACTCTATCCAATTTGCTGGTTTCTGTCTTTTAATTGGAGCATTTAGCCCATTTATATTTAAGGTTAATATTGTTATGTGTGAATTTGATCCTGTCATTATGATTCTATCTGTTCTTTTGCCTGTTAGTTGATGCAGTCTCTTCATAGTGTCAATGGTATTTACAATTTGGTATGTTTTTGCAGTGGGTGGTACTGGTTGTTCCATGTTTAGTGCTTCCTTCAGGAACTCTTGTAAGGGAGGCCTGGTGGTGACAAAATCTCTCAGCATTTGCTTGTTTGTAAAGGATTTTATTTCTCCATTTATGAAGCTTAGTTTGGCTGGATATGAAACTCTTGGCTGGTTGAAAATTCTTTTCTATAAGAATGTTGATTATTGGCCCCCACTCTCTTCTGCATTGCCAAGAGATCCACTGTGAGTCTGACGGGCTTCACCTTGTGGGTAACCTGACCTTTCTCTTTAGCTTCCCTTAACATTTTTTTCTTCATTTCCACCTTGGTGAATCTGATGATTATGTGTCTTAGGGTTGCTCTTCTCGAGCAGTATCTTTGTGGTGTTTTCTGTATTTCCTAAATTTGAAAGTTGGGCTGCCTTGCTAGATTGAGGAAGTTCTCCTGGATAATATCCCGAAGAGTGTTTTCCAACTTGGTTTCAGTTTCCCTGTTTCTTTCAGGTACGCCAATCAAACATAGCTTTTGGTCTTTTCACATAGTCCCATATTTCTTGGAGGTTTTATTTGTTTCTTTTCACTATTTTTTCTCTAATCTTGTCTTCACACTTGTTTCATTGAGTTGATCTTCAATCTCTGATCTCCTTTCTTCTGCTTGATTGATTCAGCTATTGATACTTGTGTATGCTTCACGAAGTTCTTGTGTTACACTTTTCAGCTCCATTAGGTCATTTATATTCTTCTCTAAACTGGTTACTCTAAGTTAGCAATTCATCTAACCTTTTTTCAAGGTTCTTAGCTTCTTTGCATTGGGTTAGAACATGTTCCTTTTGCTTGGAGGAATTTGTTATTACCCACCTCCTGAAGCCTACTTCTGTCAATTCTTCAAACTCATTCTCCATCCAGTTTTGTTCCCTTGCTGGAGAGGAGTTATGATTTTTTGGAGGAGAAAAGGCATTCAGGGTTTTGGAATTTTCAGCCTTTTTGCCCTGATTTCTTCCTATCTTCATGGATTTATCTACCTTTGGTCTTTGATGTTGGTGACCTTTGGATGGGGTTTCTGAGTGAACTTCCTTTTTGTTGATGTTGATACTATTCCTTTCTGTTTGTTAGTTTTCCTTCTAACAGTCAGGCCTCTGTGCTGCAGGTCTGCTGGAGTTTGCTGGAGGTCCACTCCAGACCCTGCTTGCCAGGGTATCACCAGTGGAGGCTGCAGAACAGTAAAGATTGCTGCCTGTTCCTTCCTCTGGAAGCTTCATTCCAGAGGGGCACTCACCAGATGCCAGCCAGAGCTCTCCTGTATGAGGTGTTTGTCAGCCCCTACTGGAAGGTGTCTTCCAGTCAGGATACACAGGGGTCAGGTACCCACTTGAGGAGGCAGTCTGTCCCTTATCAGAGCTCGAATGCTGTTCTGGGAGATCTGCTACTCTCTTCAGAGCTATCAGGCAGGGATGTTTAAGTCTGTTGAAGCTGTGCCCACAGCTGCCCCTTCCCCAGGTTCTCTGTCCCAGTGAGATGGGGGTTTTATCTAGAAGTCCCTGACTGGGGCTGATTCCTCTGTTTCAGAGATGCCTTGCTCAAAGAGGAGTAATCTAGAGAGGCAGTCTTGCCACAGCATCATTGCTGAGCTGCTGTGGGTTCTGCTCAGTTCCAACTTCTTGGTGGCTTTGTTTACAATGTGAGGGTAAAACTGCCTGCAGTCTTGCTTGTGACAGTTCAAAGATGACAATTGTCTGCTTGAAAATTTTATTACATATTTTACTGTATCTCACATTTAAATAGAACTCTTCCACAGAACTATTTCAAACACCCCTCTCTATGGGTAGGAAAACATCGCCCATTTACAGGTTAGTTTTCCAAGCAATGATTCATGTGAACCATTTTGAAGAACAAAATAGAAATGCCCAAATTCCATGCATATGATAGTTTCTTGGAAGTACATCTGTTGTCTCAGCTCTGCTCTTTCTCATATTAAGTGAAGAGCACATATGGGAGCAAAAGCATAGACATACCATGACCCCAGATCCCTGGATTCATGCCATTCTAGTAACCAGTGGTTATTTTTAGTTGCTCTTTATCACCCCATCTCTCAGTCTGGCCCAGGTAGCCATTTCTTCACATGCAGATAAATATACCTACTCCTACAGGTACAGGTGGCAGACAGAGGCTGGTTAAGGTGTCTAACATGTCTTAGGTTGGGGGCTTATGGTAGCCACAGATACAACCCAGAGAGAAGGAATGGGAAACAGGGGGTGTTAGTAGGGGTCTATGTTAGCAATGAATTTATAATAAACAGCCATGTCTTTGTTTTAATTTCCACAAGCATCAGGAAATGAAACTAAGTAATCAGTTAGTTAATAGATTCCATTCAGCATGTACTGAAGTTATGCAATGTTGAAATGATACGTGGTTTTAAAAAAGTGACATAAACACTGTCCAGACTTTAACTTAAGAGTATCAGCCTTTTCAAGAGAACAGTGGCTTGAAGTGTTGAGGACATTGGGAGCAACACCAGTGGTCAATTAATAATCAAGGCAAATTATTTCAAGCAGTTTTCCTTGCTCTTGAGTCCATAGATGTTACGGATACCACTCAGTTGTTACCGTTTTTGAGAGGAGTTAATGCTGAGTTAGAAATGACTGAGGAATTAGCCCCTATGAATGGGTGAGTGATGTGAGTGCCTAGAAGATTGCCACGGAGGTCGCTGATTTATCACGTGTATTGCGCCACTGTTATGTACCAGACATTGTTTTAGGCTCTGGCTGGGGTTAAGGTAGTAACTAAGATGACGCCTTTGCTCTTATGAAGCTTATGTTCTATATTGTGTCTCCATGATTATAAGACCTTATCTGTATTGCCCACACCTCTTGGCACACTGCCAAACATATAATTGATTCTCAACCCTTATTTGCTGTTTCAATAGATCTACATTGCAGGGCTATTTAAATATAGGGCAAATTGTTTGGAAATCATGTTTTAAATGCCTTTCAGGTTTGCTCTCATATTACTCTTGAAAAGATAAGACCAGGGGTTAAATTTTCTGATATATTTTGATAGAAACTCAAGCAATAGCTTAAGTTAATTCCACAGAAGTATTCCAAAAACCCCTGTCCAAGCACAAGTAAAGCCATTTCATATTGATACAGGTAGGCCAGGCCTTCATCAGAAAACATACGGCAGAAAATAAGGGTAAAGATGCCGGTTGACTGGTGAAGTTTTTCGTATGTGAAGAATGATACAATGGTTTGACTTATCAAATTTGCTTGCATATTCCTATGTATTTCTGAGAGTTAACTACATTTTATTGATATGGTGACAGCATAATGCCTTTATAATAAAGATGAATAGGAGGAGCTTTGCCTAGTTCTTATGACATATTCTTTCTCACATCAGAGAAATGGTGAGCCTGCTGAGCTTTAGTTGCTAAGTGATGTCACATCTTCCAGTGTCAAAAATTATAATCCCTGCTTCCCCAAACCTAAGGATTCTCTTTTATTTTTTCCCTCTTTCTTTGAGAAGGAGTCTCACTCTGTCACCCAGACTAGAGTGCAGTGGTGCGATCTCAGCTCAGTGCAACCTCCACTTCCCAGGCTCGAGAGATTCTCCTGCCTCAGCCTCCCAAGTAGCTGGGATTAAAGGCATGTGCCTGTATGCTCAGCTAATTTTGTATTTTTAGTAGAGACGGGGTTTTACCATGTTGGCCAGGCTGGTCTCAAACTCCTGACCTCAGGCATCTGCCTGCCTCACCTCCTAAAGTACTGGAATTATAGGCGTGAGCCACCACACCCAGCCCAGATACTCTTAAACTATGAAGACAGTCACAAGGATGGAGGGTACTTCTTTGAACTTCTTAATTCATCATGGCAGAGGCATCACATGCAGTTGAACAGCTTGTCCCCTGCACAAAAGCTTCCCTTGGAAGGGGCTAGTGGTGGACAGTAGGGGCTGAACCTTGCCCAGACTTAACATGGGCCTTGACTTGGGCTGCCAACCCTAAAGGAGAGGGCTTCATGCACTTCCTTCATTGACATAGCACCTGTTTGCAATACACAGTTACATGTAGCTTTAATGGAGAAACTCAGCCGAGCTCGGTTTCATCTAGGCTTGCCACAGCCGAGATTCTCTTGTTTTAGAAATGATCAAAGTTGGCCAGGCACGGTAGCTCATTCCTATAATTTGAGCACTTTGGGAGGCTGGAGTGGGCAGATCACTTGAGTTCAGGAGTTCGAGATCAGCCTGACCAACATGATGAAACCCGGTGTCTACTAAAAATTTAAAAAAATAGCTGAGTATGATGGTACATGCAACTAATTCCAGCTACTCAGGACGCTGAGGCAGGAGACTTGCTTGAACCCGGGAGGCAGAGGTTGCAGTGAGTCAAGATAGTGCCACTGCATTCCAGCCTGGGTATCAGAGCAAGACTCTGTCTCAAAAAAAAAAAAAAAAAAGATCAAAGTTATCTTCTGATGCCTAAGTAAACAATGATGCAATACATTAGAAAGCCACATGGTATCTGTTTACTTATACCCTACTTTACTCCACAAAAATTCTCAGGCAGCTCCAAAGCCAGTTAGAAGTGATTTTCCTTTTTGGATTGCCTTCCCCAGTTGCCCAAATAATCTAGACTTTGTGCTATGATAGATGCATACTTCTCTGGGTTTCTATTTTAAACACTGTCTAATTTGAGATGCTTTTCTTTCTTCTCAGGTTGGTTAAATCTAGACTCAAGAGGCTCTGCTCCTCAGAAATTGGACTTCTGAAAAGTGTGGAACGAGAACAAGAATCAGAAGAAGAAATGTAACTTTGAAGAGCTTCCAGTTTTTCCAGATAAATATTTTTTTTTGCATCATCTTTGTTCTTGATTTTGTTTCTTGATCTTTCGTTTGGAGAACAGCTGGCTAAGGATGACTCTCAGTGTACTGTTTGCATTTCCAATTTTGTTAAAGTGTTTGAGTTTAAATCTTTTATTTTTAGCTTTGAAAATATTTTGGGTGATAATTTCATTTTGTACATCATGCGCATCATGATATTCAGGGGCTGATTTATTCCAGATTAGCTAAAGTTTGATGCCCACACTACGAAAAAAATATTTGTTTTATTTGCCTTATAGAGATGATCAAGGTTACTGGGCTTGCTACTATTTGTAACTCCTTGACCGTGGAATTACACTTGTTTATCTTGTTGCTAATGAGAAATAAATGAATGTATGCTTTTTGGTGAAGACACTTGACATCTTTGTTTTTGTCATTTAGCTACACTCCTCTCTTATATCATGCACGAGGAGCTACAGGACACAGAAATTCTTTGTATAGCACCTGAGTTCCCCACTGGGAATAGTGGGCCAGAAGTCCTTCTAGGGTGTGTGATCTTTCACAGAGGATAAAAAAGATGATCCGGCTGGGCGCGGTGGCTCACCCCTATAATCCCAGCACTTTGGGAGGCCGAGGCGGGCGGATCACGAGGTCAAGAGATCGAGACCATCCTGGCCAACATGGTGAAACCCCGTCACTACTAAAAATACAAAAAAATTATCTGGGCGTGGTGGTGCCTGCCGGTAATCCCAGCTACTCAGGAGGCTGAGGCCGGAGAATCGCTTTAACCCAGGAGGCGGAGGTTGCAGTGAGCCGAGGTCGTGCCACTGCACTCCAGCCTAGCACCTGGTGACAGAGTGAGACTCTGTCTCAAAAAAAAAAAAAAAAAAAAGGGATGATTCCTGGGACACATGGTTGCAAAGCCATGAGAGATTGGGAAAGGAGGGTTGGGTGTCGTCTCTAAGAGTTAAAAAGTCATCACGTGCCATAACATGGCCACCACACCATCCCCTCTGTTAAAGTAGGTGAAGGGTTAAAATGAGGAAAAGCGGTTTATGGAATGCCTGGGTAAAAAGTCAGAACGCTCACCTTGTCTGTGACCAAAATAGCCCCCCAGTGGAGAGTCAAGACATCTTGTTTCTGATTCTGGCTCTACCATTCGCCAGACTTCAGGTCTCTGGCAATCCCCGTGTCCTTTTCTCTAAAGTAAGGAATTGAATTGAATGAATCATGTGGCCTTTCTGGTTGTCACATTTTATGAATCTGGAAATGGAAACATGGAAAGCTATTAGGTTGGTGCAGAAGTAACTGTGGTTATTGCTATTGAAAAGCAGTGTCAAAAACTGCAATTACTTTTGCACCTGTTGTAACCGAGCGAGTGCGAAATCACCACCGATACAAAGACTAGGCCAAATTGCAGGGTCTTTATTGCCAGCGGCCATGGAGGACTCGGGTCTCTCTAACCTGTGGCCCCAAAAGGAGGGTGTCAAGGCATTTTATGCCCCAAAACCACCTCCTGGGCAGGGGTGAGGGCGAGGGGCTTTGGACATTCTGAGGGCCAGTGGACTTTGGACATTCTGTAAACCACCTCCTGGGCGGAGATGAGGGCGAGGGGCTTTGGACATTCCAAGGGCCAGGGGACTTTGGACATTCCGTAAATCACCTCCTGGGCAGAGATGAGGGTGAGGGGCTTCAGACACTCTGAGGGCCATGGGACTTTGGACATTCATCTCCTGGGCAGGGGTGAGGGTGAGGTGCTTTGGACATTCCGAGGGCCAGGGGACTTGGGACATTCCGTAAATCACCTGGAAATGAGGGTGAGGGGTTTTCACATTCCGATCGTTACTTAAGTGGTTCACGGAAGTCAAGATAAGTGTTAGTTTACACATTGTCTGGGTAGGGTGGAAATTACAGACCTTAGTTCCTTATTACAAGTCGCAAGGACCAAGATGGCGTGGGTTTGGACTGCTTGCCTGTCACATCAGGGTCACAGAGAGCAGTTTCAATGGAAAACCTTGTATGGTCGAGGTATGCAGTTTATGGGGCTTTTACCATGTCACACACCAAACTAATAATTTAGTGTAATGTTAGTCACAAAGACCCGTATTTACTATGACAGAAAAGGAAGGAGGATTGCATGAATCCTTGAGGGATGACCCAAATCTAGAGGAAAGGAGACAGCCTTGTGCACAGCTGGAGCTGAAATCTGGTCAACTAAGTCCTGAAGGCTCCCTGGCATTTCACAAGCACTGGCAAATCCAGAAGGCCGCCTGTCCAGTTTCATACATCTCATAGTGACACTGAAGAGTCAGGCGAGCAGATTCTTCAGGCCCCAGAACTGGACACATTCATTTTGTTACATAAGTTTGAAAAGAGCAGCTGTGAATGGCTGAAGGTTTATCTTGAATAATGCCATGAATTATTAGGGCATTTCAGGCATATGAAAATGCCCACATGCCACAGTCCTCGGGGATCATGGTGTTCTATCCCATATATGTCCTATCTCTCAGAGCTGTTTGCTAGACCCATAAGAGTCTATAATTTTGGCGAGTTTGGGTTTCAAAGGAGTGAGTGAGCGAGAGATCAGCAGCAGTTACATGAAGCTGGCATCACCGGTATCTGGGCCTGAGCAGAAACTCTGGGAATAATTAGCATGAATTTCGAAAACTAAATGCAAATAGTCTATAGTCTTTGTGAGTGAGCAGAAACCTCCATTCCTTCTCGTCTGCACACAGATTACAAGTAAAATCAACTTAGCGAGTTCTCAGAAGAGAACATTTGGTTCAGGTCTAGGTCCATACTCTGGGATAATTTGCTTCTAGTTCCTAAAATGAGCAATACATTGGAACACTATTGTATGATCTTACCGTTCCATTATTGGATCTGTAGTTTATGACTAACAACTTTATGGAATGACATGAAAAATTAGCAAACTGTGAACTTGAGCCAAAATTAGTCATTTTGTTTACTTGTGCTGGGAAGCCTTAGATCAATAAGTACAATTTGTAAAGATTCTGATTTATAAAAAAGCATGTTTCAGTAAATGTTCTGAAACCATGAAAAATATATTATTACAAAAATATAAACATTTTTTCAACTCTAGATCATGGGATGAGAAACATTAGTTCAGGCTGCACTTAACCTCTGGGTACCAATGGAATCAATCACTCATCCAATGACTGTTTATTAAGCAGTTATCATGTGCCAAGCAGCATGCAATATACTAGGAATACAGTGGTACTCTACAGCAGTACTGAAGCAAAGTCCCAGTCTTCATCAAGCCTACTTTCCCATGGGACAGACAGTCACTAAAAAAGTCAACAAATAACTTCTAAATTTGAGGCAGTAATAAGTGATATGAAGAAAAATTAAGCTGGGAAGGAGTATAAAGAATGGTGGGGTGCTGCTATGGTTCGCATACGATTTGTTTGTCCCCATCAAGTCTCATGTTGAAATTCGGTCATCAGTGTTGGAGGTGGGGCCTGGTGGGAGGGGTTTGGGTCATGGGGGCGGATCCCTCATGAATGGCATGTTGCCATCCTCAAGGT